TCCATCTACAATAGCTCACAGTATTAACAGTGATAAGTCTGAGAATCAGTGCATGGCTGGCGACCACCTCCACAAAACTCCGGCTCCCTCTCTCTGTGGAATTAGGCAATACCAACGCTCTGCAATTTAAACCGCCGCGTTTCGTTACGTGCTTTTGCGGTAGCTACAAGTGGTTAGGGAAAAACCTCATGAATTTCAGTCCTGCAAGTTGGCTGTTCGCTAGGTTCGATAATTTTGCAATTTCATACATAAGGCGTGAGAAGGTGTTCAGAAAATTTTAGTCTGGTATTCGAATTGAAAGAAAGACGACAGCTGCACAATTTCAATCTTCTCATGCCCATAAGTGACACGTAAAGAGCCGTTTAAGTTGTTTTCAAGTTTCAAGGCATGCACGTGATCGAAGACCCTCTGCACCTGATCAACCGTCTAGCAAACGGCTTGCGAAACGAGGTGGACAGTAACAAATCTGCATTTTAAAACTTTGTGTATTCGTAAATGACACGCAGACGTGCACGTAAAAGTCAAATTCACTTCTTTTGGTCCTCAACTGGTTAGGTAATATCATTGGGAAATATCGGCTTTTTAGCCTGTCTAAGTCATGTGCTGAAAAAATAAGCAACCTCGAATTTCACGTGCTTGTACGTGAGGAACTAGGGGGCTATGAGACCGGTTCCTAGGATGAAAAAATGGCCGAGTGCCAACAACAGCCTTCTAGCTTCTCAGGCTTCTGAGCTGAAAAACCCGAAGAGATATCCGACAAACAGAAACACAAATGAAATAGCAAATACATTTAAGTGAAAATGACCCTACCGGTCTGAGACAGGACTTTCTGTGCTGCGTGTGTGTTGCCCTGAGAATTGTCCTGCGGCGAAACCAGGCTTCGCACAACTTGCAGCAGGAACATCACATTTGCAGCCTTTTGTCTGTTCCATTCATACTCACGGCGCGGCGCGCCTTGCTCGCCTTCACGCCCATAGAGCAAACAGTGAAGCAACGCTGCTAAACGCTGTATCATGCTGAAACAAGCAAGATCAGCGCAAAGAATTCCATTCGCTTTTGCAAATAACAAAGAAATCAAGTGCGCATGCGGCATTTCGAAGGACGAAGAAGCGTGGGGACGAGTGGTCGCAGTAGGCCAACTGGTGCAGCAGATCTAATCACAACTGTGACAATAAGAGGTTGCCAGCCACCGACAAGTGATTTAAAGTCAGTCTGTCAACGTAAATAATGGGGAACAAATTATAAGAAAAGTTCTGGTGAAATAAGTGCTAACCTTGCCTCCCGAAATAGCTGCTGATTTTTAGCATTTCGCCGCAACAAATTCAGAATCACATACAAGCAGTCCTCAATCACAATGCCTGAACTGGAGCAACTTTAAAACAAATTCTACCACACAGAATACATCGCCCATGTTTTGGTGAACCTCTTCAACAAAAAACACAGCCAGACTACTTCTTTCTCACAAATAGCGCACTGCCCGCGGGGAATCCTGAGAGCGTCCGGGAGAAAAATGAGCTTTTCTGAGAGGCAAAAGAAGCTAAAAAACTTGTTATTTTAGTCTTGGCATTACTCGTCTCACGATACTGCTTTTCCTCCACGGGCCGTGACTTCCGATTTAATGACTTTAGCGACAAAAACTTTCACGTGGACTACTTTCTGCATAGGCATAAAAACATCACGCAGAAATCTCAGCCTTTCTGCTCTTCTAGTCCCCAAGTTAACAACACTTTTCTGCCAAATCCTTCACGTGACCGAAAGTGAGGTCAGGGCACAGGTGAGAGTTGAATTTAAAACATGAAGATCAAATGTGAACGCAGAGTGCTACCACAAAATTTGAGCTCTCTAATATTTCTTGTTTCCCGGTTAGTAGTTTCCCGCCAAAATCTCGTCAATGTGTGAGACCTAAGAATGCGTTAAAGCTGAATTTGAATTTGCAACATCGCAAGCACGTACGTATGAGACTCCCCTAAAATCTTAGCTCCCTAGTCTTGCTGCTTCTTACGTTGAAAGCGTGGGGAAGATCACACTTGGGAACACACACACTCGGGCTGGGCGTGACAATATGCGTTTTTTGCAACTGTTTCAGCACAAAACGCATAAAGAATTAAAAAAGACTGATGCAGCAAAAGAGAGTGCATGCTATGAACTATTTCAATTGTCAACTCAGAACCTATATATGAACAGAGCCAATTGGCGATGCCAAAGAGCAGCAACAAAGTCACGCAAATATGGCGACGAACAGAAGCTTACTTTCCACAGGTTCGACGTCAATGATGTCGAAAAGAAGCTGAAACGCGTTTTCATATGTAAGCAACTGCTGAATTTGTGGATTCGCTCGGCTCAGCTCGCTTAACATTAACACGATACTGTTGCGGATAATCTAAACAAGCACGAAACGGAACCACTGTGAACAAAATCAAAAGTAATAAATAGCAACGCGCACTAGGCCAGCCGGCGCGATCATGCGTTTTGTGCAATTCCCCCCGCCTGCTAAGGATTTTCACTCCTTTGCACTTTGATCTGTGCAAAAATAGTTGAGATGTTAAAAAATAGTTAAAAATTTCACGCACCGATGCATGAAAGCTGAATTTGAAACCTTGAAGGGTGAATATCCTTCCGTGATCCCACAGATAATAGTTTACCTACCAAAATTTCCACAAGGCCGTAAGCTATACCCGAGAGCGCGAGAACACTGAATTTGAATTTATAAGGTCCTACGTGGGCAAGGAGTAATTACCTTAAAATTTTAGCTTCCTAGACTCCGTGGTTTCCAAGATAATAATTTACCCATCAAAAATTTTCACGGGGCCGTATATGTTACCCGCAGGCAGGAGGAAACTGAATTTAAATTTTCTGGGTAGCACATGCGCGCGGGACATGCCCACAAAATTTCAGCCCTCTAATTTCTGTGGTTCCCGTGATAAAAATTTACCCGCCCAGACTTTTACGGGGCCATACGTGTTATCCGCGGGTACGGGGAGGCTGAATTTAAATTTGAGGGGTCGCGCTTGGGTGGGGAACGTTTTCCTAAATTTTTAGCTTCCTAGCTTTTGTGATTCCCGAGTTGAAAGCTGCGGACAGAATGCATCGGACACACACACATATATATGCACACAGACAACCCCGTGACAATATGCGCTTTATGCAGCTGTTATACAGCACAAAATGCATAAAAATGGTCATAGTAAGTACTGGCAGTCACACAGTGTTCTCGAACACTGACCTCACGGGAGTCGTTCAGTAAGTCAACGAGGCGAGATACTCCAGTTGGTTCCTGGACAATAGCTGCCTGCACTTCGCTGGCACGATGTCGCAGAAGGGCTGTCAATAAGCGGATTACTGCTCTGAACAGAAATGCGTTATCAGTAAGCCACAGATTCAAAAATTACCAGCCCGCACCCGCAAACAATTCAAATTTCTGAGAAGTAAGCTGAATGGGAGAAGTGCAACCTTCGAACGTTAAAATCATAGGACTGCAGCAGTGCCATAACTGATGGAACGAACGTCTTCTTTCGCACAATCATTTCGGCCAACCTTTCGCCAATTTCATCGTGTCCTTAAAAATGAATTTACTCACTTCAGCCCAAAGTCCGTTTTTTGAAAGCAGTTCGAGTGTACGTAACAGCTCTGTAGTTTACCGTCATCGGCAGCCTCATCATCGCACAGTACAGCAACCAGAATTTCCAGGACGATCGCTATAATCTCGGAATTGCGGTATTCCTTTTCAAGGATCTCCATATATGCATTCATACCAATTGCAGCCACCGGCAATCGAACTTTCTGCAACATAACTGTGTACACAGCACCTCATCTTCCTTTTACCGTTACTTCCAATGCAAAGCCCTTGATGCTCTTGTCCAGCACCCTGCTACAGCAACAGCAGATACCTTTCATATGGACATAATACTGTTGTTCACATTGATTTTCGTACAGATTTTTAAAATTTGGTGTTTTGCGGGCTAGCAACTTCAAACTTCTGAGCATGTGCTAATAATTGGCCAACGCACGGGCTGCCCGTGCGAAGATGCGTTTTTTGCATAGTTGCCCGCAGTTTTTGTCGTTACCGGCATCGGTTTTTTGGCAAATCCTTCTAGCTAAACAAATTAAGACTGGCCGCCAAAACTGGCAGGAAACAGCCCACCCCCTTAAAATTTCAGCTTTCTAGCATCTCAGATCCCCGAGTCATGGATTTATGCGGGAAAAATTTTGTCAGGCCAGTACGCGGGTACCACGCTTACCCGGGAGTTGGGTCTGAGCTCACTAGTATATACTTGGACGGGGAACATTCCCCTAAAATTTCAGCTTTCTAGTTTCCCTGGTTCGTGAGTTATCAACTAACCCTAAAAAAATTTTGACGGGCTCTTACGCGGCTACCACGCGGGTAAGACCGCCCATTTTGGAGATGGGGGCCCGTACGTGTATGTAGATTATGTTCCCAAAGTTTCAACCCTGTAGCTTTTGCCGGTTTCGAGATGAAAAATCGGTACAGC